CTAATTATATATGTAGAGAATATTAATAATCTAATTATATATATTGTTTTTGTTTTATGTTTTATTGTTTCCCCTCTTGGGGTTACAAACTCCAACATTCTCTCCTCCTTATTTCTTATTCCTATTCCTAATCCGCTCGCACGCTCCCCCTCATACCTCCCCCTCTCTTCACTCCCTTATCCTAATTTATCACTAACTTATATCTATTTTACTTCTACTGTTCGCTCCTTATATCTATTCTCTTACATCTATCGCCGACTTCCGTTTCCTCTCATACACTCCATTCCTTCTCATCCATTCCACTCATCCACATTCGTCCCCCCTCCCCCTCCGTATCTTCCCTCCTCCCCTCTATTCTTTCACCCCCTCATCCATCACTCTCCCTTCCCCTCCCCTCCCAATAGCGTTCCCACTACCTCCCCCCATCCCTTTCCTCCTCCCTCCTCCCATCTCGTGCATTCCTCCCACATATGTTCCCATGTTTCCTCTCCTCTTTCACACATCCTACAACTCCTCTTCTCTCTCTCCATCCAATATCTCCCCTCCCTCATCTCATTTTCCATCCTAAACCTTATCACCCTATTCCATCTTCTCTCTGCCCATCCCTTTTCCAGATATGCCGGTACCCCCTCCTCCTTCACGTACCTATACCATTTGTTGTATCTCGAGTTTCTTATATTTCCCCATCTTTCTTCCTTCTATTCTTCCCTATCTTTCTTTTCAATTTCCTCATATTCTCTTTCCTCCTGCTCTGTTTCTCCTATTCCCTTTCCTTTGCAGAATCCCTCTCTCTCCTGTTCCCGTCTCTCCACCACTCTTCCCCTCCTTCACCTCTCTCTCATCTCCTGTCAGCAACTTATCGCCACCTCCCCTCCCCTTTCTTCCTGTAACCTCCTCTCCATCCTCCATGCCGCTTTTCCTGCTCTTTCCCTCATCTTCTCTCTTCCTATTTCTTTCCTTAACATATATCCTGGCGTATTCCTCTCTACCCCCATTGTCCACCTTATATATTTTTCTTGCAGCCCTTCCATTTCCTTTCTCTCTTTCCACCCTCATATTTCCGCTCCATACCCCAATACCATCCATACTAACTTGTCGAAAAGCCATAAACTTCTTCTCCAATCCTTACCCCATATTCTCTTCCCTATACTCCACACTTCCCCCATTACCACCGCTGCCTTCCTGACCCTTTCCTTTATCTGTGCCTCCATTGCTCTGTATCACATATCCTAAATATCTATACTCTTTCACTTCCCTCTAGCCTCTTGCCCTTCCATCTTCATTTCCTCTTCACCCTTCTTCCACCTTCACTCCTGAATCTCATTACCTTTGTTTTCTCAATGTTCAACTCCAACCCATTTCCTTCTAAATATCCCTCCAATCTGCTCAACATAGTCCTCATCTCCTGTTTCTCCTCTGCCATCATTACTATATCATCTACATATGACAGCGTAAAAATTTTTTTTCCTCCTACCCTCACTCTATCCCACCTCTCTTTTGCTATTTCCTCCTCTAAGTCCGCTAATAATATGTTAAACAACACTGGGCTTAACGGACGCCCTTGCCTCACTCCTCTCGCTGTCCAAAATTCCTTCCCCACTGTCTTCCCTATCCTCACCTTACTCTTCACTTCCCTCATAATTTCCTCTACCCTTACTACTAAACCCTCCCTCACCCCTCTCTCCCTCAACATCTTTATCAACTTCCCTCTGTGCACCGAATCAAATGCCGCCTTAAGATCCATAAAGATCGCCGTGATCTTTCTGCCTTTTCTTCCCAGTTATCTATTTATCAAGTAATTTATTACGTACACCTGATCCATTGCCCCCATTCCTTTTTTGAATCCCGCCTGACTTCCCGACAATATATTTCTCTCTTCCACTTCCTTCCTAAGCCTTTCCGCCACTACCGCCGCGTATACCTTATATAGTGACATCATTATCGTCACCCCCCTTTACTCCGACACCTTCTCCCCTCTTCCTTTCTTTACTATCGATACTATTATTCCCTTTTTCCAATCTTCCGGCCATCCTTCCCCCCTCCAAACCCTCCTACATATTTCCCACGCCCATCTTTCCACCTCCTCTCCTCCATATCTCCATACTTCACTTGGTATCTCATCTCTTCCCATCGCTTTTCCATCCTTCATCTTCTCTATAATCCCCTTCACTTCCTCTCTTCTTATCTTCTTCCCTGTCCCCCCTTCCTTTCCTCCAACTTCTTAGTATTCCTCTTACTTCCTTCTTCTTTCCTGTACATTCTTCGTCCCACCACCCCCTTTCACCCACTCTCCTCTCTGTCCTCTCCTCCTCTCTGCCCCTCAGCGCTCTCCTTATCCTATCATTTACCGCTTCTAATTTCTCCCTTATACTCCCCCTCCCCCACTATATCCTTCCTAGTTCCCTCCTGAACTCCTCTCTTCCTTCCTCATCCCATTTCCCCCTGCTCATTCTCTCTTCTTTCTCTCTCCCCATCCTCTTCCCTCTCTCCCTTTATCCAAACCCCTAAAGAATGTTGATCCGATTCTACTTCTTCTCCCACTTCTATCTTTTCTACCTCCTCTATTACCTCCCCATTTCCCAATATATAATCTATTATCGTCTCTCCCCTTCCCCCCGTATATGTGAATTCCCCTTCCTCATCTCCTTTCATTCCTCCATTCAGTATCGCCCATTCTCTTTCTTCTATTATCTGCACCATTCTTTTTCCTTCTTTGCTTATCCTCTTGTCCTTTGATTTTCTTTTTCCTCCTTCCTCTCTCCAGTCCTCGTTTTCCCTCCACCCTCCTTCCTCTCCTGTTCTCACATTGAAGTCTCTTCCTATAATCGTTCTATTGCCTTCCTTTCTTTATTCCACCCATTTCCTTATCCCTTCCATCTTTCTTTCCATATCTCCGTTCACATATACCCCTATTATCCTCCATTTCTTCTTTCCTATCTTAATGTTACATTTTATTCTTCCTTCCTGCTCCTCCCCCTCCTCCTTCTCCTCCTCTTTTATTCCCTTCCTTATCCTCATTAGCATGACCCCCTTTGCTCTTCCCTTTTTATTTTTCTTTGTTGCTAGCTGTACTTTCCATCTAAATTCCTTTGGCAATTTCTCTCTTATCCTTTCCCAATCTTTTCTCTCCATCCATATCTCCATCATCGTTACTACATCCCACTTTTTTATTCTTTCCCAAAATCCTACATTTTTATTTGTCACTCCTGCTACGTTCCAAAACATCATCTTCCATTCATTTTCCCTCTGTTCTCTCCCTTTCCCCATTCTCCCCTTATTCCTACCTCCCCCTTTTCTCTTCCCCCTGCTCTCCCCATATTCTCCCTTCTTCGTCCCTCAATTTATCTCCCTTCTCATTCCACCTCCACTACTTTCCATCTATCCTTATTTTCCCGTATTTTATCCACACGCTTTTCCCTCTTCCCCTTTCCTCTCTCGCTATCTCCTCTATTCTCCATCTCATCTTCCTCTCCTTCCATGTCAGGTCATCATCAATCCTTATGCCCTTCTCTCTTAGTTCTCTTCTTCTTACCATTATCTCCTTTTTCCCTTCCATTTTGCTTATTTTCATAATCCTTCTCCCCTCCTCTGTCCCTTTCTCCTTTCCTATCCTTCTCATTTCCCCAATTTCTGCCACTATCCCCATTTCCTTAAATATCTCCCTCATCTTCTCCCTCGCCTCAATCTCCCCTCCCCTCAGTCCCCCTATTACCACATTCCTTCTTCTTTTCTCTTTTTCCCTCATTTCCAGTTCCTTCTCGATTCCTCTCATTCTTCTTTGTTCCCCCTCCCCTCATATCTTCTTTATTTCCTTCCCCTATCTCCTCCCCCTTCTTTCCCTTCATCTCCTCTTCTAATCTCTCCCTATTCTTTCCCTCATTCCCTCTCTCTCTCTCCTCCATTCTCTCTCCCTTTCATGCATTTGTTTTCTAAGTTCCTCCAATACCTTTTTCATTTCCCTTCCCTGTTATCTTACCTCCTCCATCATCGGTTCCTTCATTTCCTTCAGTTCTTCTTTCATCTCTTTCTTCAACTCCTCCATCATCCTATATCCCCAATGCTTTTCCTCCCCTCCACTCCCTTCCTTCCCCTTCTGCGGCGATCTTTACATACTTTTCCCTTTTTTAAATGCAAACTCTTCCCCTTCCTCCTCCCCCTTCTCTTTCGTCCTCCTTTGTTGTCTTCCCCCTATATCCTTTGCTCCTCGCTATTTCCTCCAACAAGTTTCCTTCACTTCCCCTCCTCCTCCTGTCCATCATTACTTCCATTCCCCCTCCTTCACCTTCAGTTTTTCGTATCTTTCTGCCATCTCCCTCTCCCTCTTCCCTCGACCGTTCTCCTCTCCTCTTTTTCCACCTTTCCCCTTTTCCTTCCTTCTCCTTTTGCAACTTCTCCCTAGTTTCCTATACTCTCCTCTCTTGTTTCCCCCACTCGTCTAGTTCCCTCTATCCTAGTTCCTTACTCCTGTTTTCTCCTTACAGTTTCCTCTCTTATTCTTTCTCACTCTCCGGTTACACGCACTACGACTTCTTATCCCACCTAACCTCTTTCGCCTCTTTTCCACTGCTCCCTTCTCTCCCGCCTCTCCCTCCACCCCACCCTTACTCCTCCACCTTCCTCACCTCCCTGTCTTCCTTCACCCCCTGTCCCCCGCCTTTCTATCGCTCTCCCTTTTCCTTTTCACGGTCACACTTCTTCACTCTTTCTTTCTCATACTCAATCTCACTCGCTCCGGAAACGGAAGTTACTCTAATTATATATATTTTAAAGCTATTATGTCAATATATATACGTGTATATTTTAATAATATATATAGTATAATAATCTTATGACATGAGTCATTAAGAAATTAAATTCTTCTAGAACGCTTATTATTTTTCATTATTTTTAGATTATCTGGAGATAATGTATTTTTTATAGGAAGACATAAAATAGTATATCGGTTGAATATGTAAAGGCAATCATCTAATATTATATAATGTTAATTTCAATGTCGCTAGATATCCCATTGGAAACCGACAGCTTCCATATTTCGCGAAATGGTGTCAAGATAGGCTTGGGGTGGAATGGGAAGTGAGGAATATGTCTCAGAATTTGCCTACGCACTTGCCGGCACCAATTCTTTCAGCAGAGCTATTGAAAGCGATCGAACAGCTGAAGATCGAATACTCGACCGATGGTGCCGATCGTCTGATACGGGCACATGGCCATACGATGCGAGAGATTTTTCTTCTAAAGCACGGTTCTTTCGAGAGAATACCAGACATCGTTATTTGGCCAAGTAAGTTAATGTTATCATCTTATAAAACACATAATTGAAGATCAAACGAACTTACCTGTAAGTGAAGTTCGATCGAAATTATATGAAGGGCCTCGTTCGAGGAAATCACAACATGTAGTATATTTCCGATGTGGCTAGATTCACAACGTTCAGATTTCAAACTCCTTCCTTCTAGGGCCGCGTCACGTGGTCTTCATTACTTTTAGAGTAAGCGACCGAAATAAGAGTGCACCTGCCTATACAGGGTGAAGGAAAAACCCCGGGACCCCTGAAAATTTCGAAAAATATACACTTTATAAAAAAAATGTTTCAGATAAAAGTTGTAACGCTGAAAAAGATCTATTTATCGATCTTAACAGTTTGACCTTGGGTGGCGTCATCAAGGTCAGGACAAAGTCACCTCGGATTTTTTAAATGGAACTTCCAATTTTTTTGTTGCATATTCTTATAGCCCTTCTTCAGACCTTTTCAAAACACTATGGTCTTATCCAATTTGAATAAGCTGTTCCGAAGTTACCGAGTTTTTTAAAGTAAGATATCTAGCCAACTAAGGCAAGATCGGAGGATGATCTAGCCAACTAAGGCAAGGTCGTAAGATGATCCAGCCAACTAAGGCAAGGTCGGGAATTGTCCGGCAAACTAAGGCAATACTGGAAAGCTGTAAAGTAATTGCTCAAAATGTCCGCTATCAACAGTTTGACAATAAGGTAATCTATCGTAAAAAGATGAAACGGCTTTTTGAATATAATCAGCAGGGATGAGAGCAGCTTCATCAAGAGTTCGATTTCGTAAGTCATCCAAATTTTGTGGTTTCGTTTTGTAAACTCTATCTTTTAAATGGCCCCACAGGAAGTAATCGTTAGGTGATAAATCAGGTGATCGAGGAGGCCATTCTATAGGTCCTCTTCTAGCTATCCATCGATGAGGAAACATTATGTCCAGATAATTACGGACGTCCCTTCCGTAATGTGGGGGGGCACCATCTTGTTGGAACCATGTATGCTCGAAGTTGTCATCCATGATTGCTTGTATCGCTGGAACTATTTCGTTTCTTAGCATATTCTCATATTTTATCGTTGTTAGATTTCTGTCAATAAAGAGTGGACCTATGAGAACATTATTCAAAATGCCCAAACATTCACTTTTTGTGGATACTGCGTGTGTGTTTCTTCAATCCAGTGAGGATTTGTATCTGGCCAAAATCTACAATTGTGTTGATTAATTGTGGCCATTTAACTGAAATGTTGCCTCATCTGAAAATACTACATTTGATAGATAGTTAGGATCTTCGGCTATTTTTTCCATCATCAAATCACAAAATTCAATGTGCCTATCAAAATCATCTTCATTTAGCTTTTGTACAAGATGAATCTTATAAGGATGTAATTTATTCATTTTCAATATTTTAAGCACAGACATTTGATCTATTTCATGTTGCTGTCCTACTTTGCGGGTCAAAACATGCGAATTTTCGATAAAGGATTGTAGAACATCTAATGATTTGTCTACACTTATTGCTGATACTGGCCTATCTGGTATTGCATGATTTTTCACACTTCCAGTTTCCTGAAAATACCTTATCGTTCTTTCAACGGTAGATTTTGAAATGGCATTACCCTGATTACGAAAAGTTTCATTAAAAAGCTGCCTCACATCATTGTACGACCTTAGTCGATCATTCCATCCTTTCATCATCAAAAGAGATATGCGTTCTCGTTCTGAAAGACTTGCCATATTAACAAGCAGAAGTGGTAAGATTTAGTCTAATCGACTAAATTAATATTTGGATCAATTCAAAGTTATTCTAAAGACAGTGCTGAAGAATAATTATGAGCACGGAATGAAGTGCATTTAAGTCAGCTTACAACTAGCTTCAAACTGTTTCTTAATAATTTTCAAAAAAATAGAGGAATTTCAGTCGAGTTTGCGATTCACTAAATTGTAATGAGTATTAAATGAGTAAATGGAAGAAATAAACATCAAACAGTAGAATAGTTCAAATAAATAAATAACTGAAATAAATCAATCAACGAAATTAAGACAAGCCAATAGGAGCCAACGCCTGGAAGTTAGTCGCGCAATTATTTTTATGAGTTGGCTGGATCATCCTCCGATCTTGTCTTAGTTGGCTCGATCACTCCGACCTTGCCTTAGTTGCCGCCCCGCCTTAGTTGGCGGATAACTCCGACCTTGCCTTAGTTGCTAGATATCTCTTTTAGTTGACTAGATATCTTACTTTAAAAAACTCGGTAACTTCGGAACAGCTTATTCAAATTGGATAAGACCATAGTGCTTTGAAAAGGTCTGAAGAAGGGCTATAAGAATATGCAATAAAAAATTGGAAGTTCCATTTAAAAAATCCGAGATGACTTTGTCCTGACCTTGATGACGCCACCCAAGGTCAAATTGTTAAGATCGGTAAATAGATATTTTTCAACGCTACAACTTTTGTCTGAAACATTTTTTTATAAAATATATATTTTTCGAAATTTTCAAGGGTCCCGGGATTTTTTCTTCACCCTGTATATGGGGAGGGAAGAGATTTAACATAATTAAGGAAATTTGATTGCTATTTGAGAATTCAAGGGAGGGTTGTAATCTCCTCGAACAAGGCCCTTCATATAATTTCGATCGAATTTCACTTACAGGTAAGTTCGTTTGATCTTCAATTATATTTCAGGCTTCGTTCTCAAGATTACAACATGTAGTTGTTTAGAGCGCAGGTAACTCTTGCCCTTTCTGGTAGACGTTATATCGACTTTAATGGCTTTCTTATTATTGGTGAAAATATATTTATTTAAGCACTATTGCCTGCAACTAATATAAATTGGTAAACTTATACTCAACCTTTATTTAGTGCCGAGGAATGCAACATTTTGATAAATTAAACCGAAAATCTCTCTTACTCTGAAAGACACTTAAGTCTATTTAATTACCGCTCTCGCAAACTTAAAATTTTTTTAAATAGGGCGATTATAAAACTTGGCAAACATTGTAGAACCAGCTGACCAACCTGCAGCTTTCCTAATCGATTCAAGGTCGAGACCATTACCGAAAGCTGCAAAAGATGACGCGTGTCTTGTCGAATGAGATGAAAAAATCGTGATATCAATTTCACATTTTTGTAAAACCGAGCAGATCCATCGACTGATTGTCTGAGCTGTAACTTCTTTATGTGGCTTTCGCATCGCAATGAACAATTTTTTAGTATTGCCTCTCAACGCAGAAGTGACTTTCAAATATTGAGTCACTGTACACGCAATACAGAGTTCCGGTTTTTCCTTAAAAAAAGATAAGCATAATAACGGTCTCTTCTTCCCTGGACGGTAGGTTTTTGTGCATTCCATAATTCTTATCTCTAAACCTTCCATATTTTGTTTAATATTATTTATCGTAATTGCTGCTAATGTCTGAGCTCTACTAGCAGATCCTAAAGCTAACAATATAACTGCTTTCTCAGTTAGCTGTTGTAAACTAAGCTTACATAAGGGAAACCAACTTTTAATTTTGTCTAATACCATATTGGTATCCCATGTAGAAGCGTAACGTGAATTTATCGGTCTTAATTTTGCAACTCCCTTGAAAAAACGACCTATTATCGGGTTTTCTCCTATTTTTGTATGCGATAATAACGATATTGCACTACGGTGTGTATTTAAAGATCCATATGATGCACCGTTTCTATATAAATTCGTTAAAAATTCTAATAAGTCGTTAGTCCTGACCAGAAAAGGATTTTGTTTTTTGTCTGCACAAAAAATCCACCATTTTCGTAACAATGAATCATATTGTTTAAAAGTATTATCCGCTAGTGAGGCCATCAATATTTCTACCGAATCCATTGGTAAATCCTTCCTCAAATATGCTTCCCTGAGACAATGCCAAATATTAATGTAAGCGTCAAAGTCATAGGATGTATCTTCGATCTGCAAGGTGATAATAATAAGTGTCTAGATGGTATAAAAATTTTGGGCTCTGTCACTAGTAAGTTACGAAACATGGGGTACCACGCTTGGCCCTTCCAATTTGGAACCACAATAATGCCTCGAGCCTTATCTTGAACTATCTTATTTAACATTCGCAAAATCATGGAAAACGGAGGAAAAGCATAAAAGAAAAATGCAGACCACGATATCGAAAAAGCATCAATGGCCCATGCATTAGGGTTTGTGGCCCATGAACAAAATTTTTCGCATTTAGCATTAAGACTTGTAGCGAACAAGTCTAATTCTGGAAATCCAAAGGATGTAATTTCATTGAAGGCATATGTCGCTAATTCCCATTCAGTATCGAGATTTTTTAAACGAGACAGTCTGTCCGCTACAACATTACTGGTAAACTGGTATATGTTCTGCATGTAACCAATTGTTGTTGTTCTCTGCCCAACTCCAGATTTGTGTTGCTAGTTTATTGAACTTTGGATATTTAATACCTTCCATTTTGTTAATACATACAACAGCCGTTGTATTGTCCACTCGTAACAAAATGTGACGATCCTTTAGTTCTGCTTCGAATGACTGCAGAGCAAACCAAATGGCTTTGAGTTCTAACCAATTTATATGTTGTCGTTTCTCTATCTCCGTCCAAAAACCATGAATCTGTTTGTTTTCTAATACCGCTCCCCATCCCGAGGTCGACGTATCAGTAAAAATAGTCGTATCTATCACTGCGCGTCTAAAAAATGAATTTGCTGTGATAATATGCGTCCTCCACCAAATTAATTCAGTCTTAATTGTACATGAAAGAGATAGATGTTGCTCATAATCTTCATCATGGAAAACTAACGCTAACTCCTTCGCACGTTCAAACTTTTTTATATGAGCCCAACCATACTGCACTCCGGGACACGCTGCTACGAGTTTTCCTAGCAACTGAGCAAATTCTCTGATTTTTATAGTGGAACGGTAAAGTGTACAATTAAGATGGAGAAGTTTGCGCTTCTTACCTATGGAAAGCGATATAATATATGTGGTGGAATTGAGTTCAAAACCCAAAAATTT